TTGTCATCATGTTAAGTAATCTCTTAACTCTGCAATTGCTTTCCAGTGTCAGAACAGTCCCTAAGGTTTGTCAAAGGAGACTCATGTTTGTTGTGTTTGTTATTATGTGCCATCGAGTCACTTGCAACTCATAGCGACCCAATGTACAACAGCCCTAAACGCCGTTCTATCCTGTGTCAACCTCAATGTCTCAAACACCCTCATTCCCACCATTCCACTCACAGAATCAATCCATCTCCTCGAGTGTCATCCCCTCCTGCATGGTCCCTCCACTCTCCCAAACATGATGTCCCTCTCCAAGGACCAGTCCCTCCTTGCAACATGTGCTTAGTATGTCAGACAAAGCTTCAAAATCTTTGACTCCAAGGAGCATTCTGGCTTCACCCTTTCCAGGACAAACCTGTTTGTTCTCCTAGCAGTCCATGGTATATTCAACACTCTTCTCCAGCACCACAGCTCAAAGGCATCAATTCTCTTTCTATCATCCCTGTTCACATTAAAGGGCCCTTTTAATAACAATTGTTTCTGGTGATAAGATCAATGACTTCTGAGCCACCAATTGGTCAGATGAAGTTATTCTTTTCTTTGGCCCAGGAGTTGTTGTTGTTGTTATGTGCCGTCGAGTCGTTTGTGACTCATAGCGACCCTATCTATGTACAACATCCCTAAACCCTGCTCTATCCCAGGAGTATCTACCTGATATGATTTTCCTATTCCCAAGAGAACTCTGGTGGCTTAGTAGTAAGGAATTGCACTGCCAACCCAAAGGTATACAGTTCAAATCCACAAACTGCTCCATGGGAGAAGGATGAGTTATCTCTTCTGGGACACCCTCCTCTCCTGCAATTTACTGTTTCTGAAAACCCACAGGAGGGTCAGCTATGGGTCTGTTCTGACTCAACAGTAAACAACAAAGACACGTCCAAGAGGAGTATTTCAACACAGCACCTCTGGGCTCACTTAGATAACCTGAGGAAATGATCTTTCCTATTCAGCCTAGTACTGGCATCAGAAACATGGTTTTAAAATTAAAACATTTGCTTCATTAAAAGTTAACATACCACCAGATGCTCTGCTGGAGAAGGAGGAGTAATCTCTTCCTGTGCCAGGTCAGATCCTATTTGACGGTACACACAAAAAATAATAAAATAAGAAAGTTAATTTAAAAAAAGTTAACATACATTACAATATTAGTGCAAATTCTCTATTATTAGGACGTGTATACTGAGTAAAGTCCAGAAAGCTGAGGGCAAGTTAACTGGAACTCTAGACTCAGCATACAGCTATGAAGAAAAAGTGGTATGTATGTGACAAATAAAGGAATAATACTTGTCATACAGTGCTAGACTCTGGGAAAGTAAAGTTGAAAAAGATGCTATCCTTGCTTTCAAGGAACTTTTTCTCTAGTTAAAGTTGCTTTGCTGTCATCTTTAGAGTCAGAGGGAAGTGGTGTTTCTTGGACAAATCCATCAAAGGTGTTATTTAAGAAGTATCAGGGGTACTCAGTTGCTCCTTAAACTTCAGGTAGTTAGGTACCACCACCACCACACTTACCATCACCACAATTTCTATCATATCTGTATTCCACCTACATGTTAACAAAATCAAGCTAATTGATTACATTTTTTAATGGGTTTGGGGTTTTTTTTCTTCAGGTAAGCAAATGTTTTACTAAGGAATCCCAGTGGTGTGATAGGTGAAGTGTTGGGTTGCTAGCTGAAAGGTCACCAGTCCAAACCCACCAGCCATTATGTAGGAAAAAGATGAGACAATCTCTCCTGTTAAGTTTGACAGCTTTGCAAAGTCTCTGTGAGTTAGAATTTACTTGACAGCAGAGGGTAAATGTTACATGTAACATGGCCACACGTGAAAAGTGATAACACTTGTGGGGGAAAAAAAATATAACTTGTAATTTTTATAAGTGCTTTAAAATATGGGGGTTTTGTACTGACTTTAAGAATAAACCTAAGCATGATTCTATTCTTTATTTCTACCAAGAGCTTTGATCCTCTGTGAACATGCACAAAAGATGAAAGAAAGGGAGAAGAGAATTTTCAAGTGTTTTAAGGCACATAAAACAATTACATTTGTCTTTATTATGCAGTGAAGTATTGTCCTTGAGATTATTGCAATTATGATTTTGCGATCTGTAAGTATTTTTAGCACATATTTCAATTATCCTTAGTAATTCAGGTATCCTAAGATCATTTCATTAATTACTTGCATTATCTAAACCCCTACTTAAATTTCTTCCTTAGACATACTACTCCTACAGACTAAATTATTCATCTCACCAGACTCTAAGCTGACAAAACTGCCGGCTTTAAAGCTAACTTGCTATTGAAAAAGCTAGTTAAACAAATACTTTTATTAAAAGGATAAGAGTAAAGAACCATCATGTCTAAAAATAGATACTTGGAAATTAAAATCTGTCAGACCATACGTTGTACGACTTCAGGATCCAGGAAACAAAGACATCTTTCTCCTGGGGGTATGTATTATGACAATCATTCTAGGGATCAAGTGCCGGTCTATCCAGTACAGTCATTGGAGCTTCTTTAGACAAGAAAATGATCTGAATTCCTGGGGATGGTGAAGGGAAAATACCCGTGAATTAGCACTGACCTGGTATGCATACTTGTGTATCTGTGTTGTGAGTATGTATATGTTATTGTTGTTCTTGTTGTTGTTATGTGCCATCGAGTTGCCTGCAACTCATAGTGATCCTATGTACAAGAGTCCTAAACCCTGCTCTATCCTGTACCAATCTTATTGTCTCTGACACACCTATCCTCATTACTCCAGTCACTGAATCAATCCATCTCATCTAGAGTTTTCCTCTCTTGTGCTGTCCATCCACCCTCCCAAGCATGATGTCCCTCTCCAAGAACTGATCCCACCTATGTCTCCTGTTTCTTTAACAATTCTTTTAAGGACATTAATTTTCTTGTTTTTCACTGACAGTTAGTAGAATGACCACATGTGTATTAGCCTAAAAGTTGACTTTTTTTAGATATTACAGTTAGCCCCTTCTGGTCACCAGCTACCTTAACTGCAGACACATAGTCTTGTAAATCATCAATAGCTGTAGAATTAGGTTAAGAGAAAGAGTATTTCCCACTCTGGGCAGCAAGACTTGAGGGAGACCCTGTTGATGATGATGGGGAGAGTGTGGCATTCATGTGGAGAAACTATGCAAAGTGTGGTCTGAGGCTTCTTGCATTTGTGCTGGCCACAGTTAAAAAGTTTTTGCTGTTCTTGCCAGATACTTAAAGGAAAAGCTGACTTATAACTGCTCTGAAGCAAACTTTGCTGGATTATTTGGATTTGACTGCTGAACTGAAACCAGAGCCTGGACTAATTGAGGAATTGTGCCTTGGGACTGCTTGGCTAAAATTTGAATTTGCATTGGGTGATACTCTTGTCTTTCTCACTCTTCAAATTACTTCCTTAATAAAACCCATTTTCAGTACCACAACTGTGAGTCTGTGAGTCAACAATGAATAAATGAACCTCTTGGTATGGCTCTTGAGGCACCATCGGGTGAAGCTACAGACTCTTTGTCTGATTTCTGCTCTGCTCTAGGGCAGTGCTATTCTCACTCTCCCTGGCCCGTTCAGAAAGATGCTTATAGCTCGGTGCCCCCATGTCCTATTTTCTTCTCTTTAGACACCACACTACATAGCATTTGAGACAGCTTCATATAGAAGCACAATAGATAGCATTTTATAAAATTAATAAATTCTTCATATTTGTTCCCTATATTATATTTAACATCTATCTCTGGTGTATATGCTACTTCATTGTTTTAAAATTTAAAACATTTTTATAAAATGTTGTGGCTCAATACGGTGAATGTAATTAATCCTGTTGGACTCAAATACGGGTAGTGTGGCAACTATCTTACCAAAGTAATAATACTAATAATGGTAATAATAAACACTTGAAATAAGTTTTTAAACCTAATCTCTTTTTTTTTACACTTTTTGGCTCTAGTATACACTTTTAACATTTTACATCTTTTATATAATTCAAACTCAACCATCTTCAGAGTTATAATCACAGTATTATTATACTAAGCAATCATTCTGAAAGAGGGCATATAGTACATTGAATTGTCCTACACAATTGAATTGGCAATCACCTAGGTTGGAACAAAAGCTCTTCTTACTATTAGGTATTCTCATCTAACTCTGCACCATCAAATCTCCACTTCTCTTTAGGTATTGTGATGGTTTAGGTGTGTGTCAACTTAGCTGCCTGTGATTCTCTGGTTTGAGAGTTGCAATGTTATTATTCATGTGATGAAGTGTGATGTAGTGGCAATACTCTTTTGATGGGATTTGCTATGAGCAGTCAATTGGTTGAGAGGAAGTTATTTTAGGTATGTGGCCAGCACCAAGTGAATCAGGAAGTATAGTGGAACTGGTCTGCGTTTTAGCTCACTTCTGATCCTGTTCCTCACTTCCTTGCTGCCTTGGACTAGCTGCCTGTCCTGCCTACATGGATTCAGCACCCTCTGCAGTTACATGCCAAGGATCTGGGGCTTGCAAGACACTGCAGACATGTGAGTAATTTCATTTATATAAATTTCTCTTTATTTTTTAACCCTCAAAACTTAATTTTATTGAATAAAGATCATCCAGGGTTTACATAAGAATAGATTATAATAGCTGTGAAATCAATAACAGATTGGAAACAAGAAAGTAGTTTATATTTTCACTGTAGGG